TATTTAATTGTATATTTTCGGGTCGTAATTTGTAATGTATAATGCAATGTAATTATTAATATTTATAATGTGTGTGTTACTAAAATTTTATGTTATGGATTAAAATATAAATAATGTTTCTTTGATCTTTATTGAAAGTACAATTGTACTGTTTTATATGAATTGTAATTTCATTACAATTTGCGTAAAAATATAGCCATATATTATTAATTATATATTTTATTTGAAAAATTATATTATTTATTAAAATTATATTAAAATTTTTTAAAAAAATTTTAAAAAAACTGTAATAATTTTAAATAGAGTATTATGATATAAGATAAGATTTAATATATTGGGATGATAAGAACTATTTTTTTCATTAAAGATATTTTTTTATTATTATTTCATAAATTAATAAAACATTTATTGAAGATAAAAACAATTGACGATTTAATTAGATTTTTTTTGTTTGATTTTTTCGAAATAAAAAAATTATATTATTAATTTCTTTATATATTTTTTTTTAGACTACTAATTTTTTTTTATAATCATAGAAATATAAATATTTTAATTAATATAAATATTGAAATCGTAGAACAATTAAAAATTACGTAATTTATTGAATTCGATCTCGATATAAATATCGAAATATAATATCGTAATAATGTTTTAAAAGTATCTAAAAGTTAACTAGTTAATTCATTAACAAAAATATAATTTATAATTTAAAAGCTATTATGATTTTTTTATTTATTCAGAATTCTAAACTTATACTAATTTTTTAATTATAAAATTATTAAAATTATCTTATTTATAAATCTTATTTAAATTACAATTATTTTATAAAATTTAAATTCAACAAATTTTATCAAATATTTTTCTACTTTTTTATCATATCTTTTCTTTCATTATAATAAATATATATTCAATATATAAAATTATATTCAATATATAATAAATTCTTTCATATTATAAATCATTATTGAATTGTGAATCTTTATGTAAATTCATTGTCTAAGGAATTAAAAGAGTCATTATTTTTCTACTAATTATTATAATGAATAGACTATGAATGTTTATAAAAAATATTTAATTAATTTAAAGTACATTCAAAATGAATACTTAAGTAAATATATCGAAATAAATATTTTTTTTATAATAAATATTATTATAATAATTTATTTTATAATTTTTATTATTTTATAATTTATAATAATTTATATTATAATAATAATTTCTAGTAAAATATTAATACTAAAATATATAATACTTATATTTTATATTAATATATAATAAATGGAACAAATTTTTATATAAATTTAATTTTTTATATGTTTATAAAAATGCGATTGAAATGCACAACAAATATAAAATGTTAATATATTCTTGGAATATTTTTTAAAGATATCTATGATTCTAATCTGATCTAGTTAAAAAAAAAACAAAAGTTAATATATACAAAAATTAAAGATTATTTATTAAATTATAAATAATGAAATTTACTTAAATAAAATAAGATAAAAAATAAATTCTGTTATTTTATTCTATCTCTGTTACTTTGTCTCGTTTGATTTACATAATTTCATACAATTTCATTTATTACATAAATTTCCTATGAATATATCTATAATCTAATCATTACATTCAAATATCTATTATCTAATTATCACTTCTCATATATATGTTATAATCATTATATAAATAATAATCTCGATTTGTATTTTAAAAGTTATTATTAGTAACTAGGAAGCAATCATGTGCTAATTTATTTTCTCCTGTCGATATCTCGATCCTGCATTAATCCCTCTTAATTAATTTCGTCTACTGTTGGTGTGTCGGTCAACGATTCGGCTTTCGATCCCGGTTTGCGTGGCTACGTTGGATCCGTGGTTTTGTGGAGCAGTCTGTGTAACAACCGGTGCAACCGCGAGTGCACTTTCTTCTCCCAGTTGCTGGTGCCACCAGTCCGCCTGGGAACGTGTGTATACGTGGATTCGGTGGTTTTAGCAGCCACGCGTTACACGCTCTCACAAAATTTCACCGTTTCTCGCTATCACTGGCTAGCACACGATTGCGATACGATATTTGTATGTGCGCTTCACATGTACGTGTGACCATTCGGTGTCGGTCACCTTAACTTGATTTGAAACATATCGATTATATATGCCAAAAATATATCACGTTTGTCAGTGTTTCAGAGAAAGTCGGCTTAAAGATTCTTTTACGCGAAAGAAGAAAAGAGTAGATGAGAAGGAAAAAAAAAAATACATAGTATTATAGTATTTTCCTTCCAGGAGAATACTCGTCGCAAAATAACACAAGGAATAAGGAAATGAAAATTCATAACAATACAAAATCAGATCGTTAGGAATTTTATACTTTGTACATTATACAGTACATTAACAAAAATAATTAATCTTGAAATGATTAATTATTAATTAATAATTATGTCTCTTATATTAAAATTATTTTTTATTCAACTGTGTATTTTTATTATTAAAATATTTTTTAATGCGAAGAAAATATAAAATAATTATAATTATTATAGATATATTTAATTTCTCATTTTAATTTTTGAAAATATTAAAAAACTTTTTATAGTTAAAAATTATTTAAAATATAAAAATTCGAAATATCGTAACAAGATTAAATCTTTATATATTATGAATTAAGTAATTTTTCAATAATTTTGTTTCGTTAATCAATTAGATTATTTTAGAATTGAAATGATTCAATAGTATTGAATTTAGTATTCTAAAGTTTTATTAGATTATTTAATTAATTTGAATTTAAATTTCTTGATGAACAAAAGTTTATAAATAAAATTGCTTGATTCATAATTGTATGAATCTGATTTTGAAAAGATATCTTATGAGAAATGAATCAAAAAGATTAAGTTTGATTGAAAAATTAAATATTACAATATTCAAATAGAAAAAAATAATATTTATATTAAAATATAAAAATGAAGTTATTTATATAATAATATACGTATATTTACATACTGAAGATTTGACAATATATTCGATATATATTTGACAATATATATTTGTAATATCACAAAATATATAACAGTATAATAATAAGTTTAATTTATTTAAAATTATTTTTAAATAAAAGAGGTTTTTTAATTTATCATATATTTTTATATCTTATTAATAAAAAATTTTCACTTAAAATTATTTCAAATTCGACATAACATAATAACGTAACGTTAGAAAATTTTTATTATTTTTGAATATAAAATGGAATAGCTAAAAATAATATTGCATAACTTTGATATGCAAAATAAAGATTACTCTCGTGATCTTTTTCGAAAATAATCTTAGAAAGTTTAGATAGAGTCAGTTTTTTGAAAATAAAATAGAGGTTTTAATAACGAATTGAAATATACTATATGTTATATAAGTTTGTTAGAAAATTCGTAAATAAAATATATCAATTCGATAACTGCAACTAATTTAAAAGAATGCTAAATGATGTAAAAGTTATTTAAAAATAACTGAATAATAAAGCTTAATCTCAAATTCATATTTCATAGAAAAAAATAATTAATAGATAACAATTTAAGCATAAAAAATCTTATCGAATTATTCCAAATTTATACTTTATTGGTAAATTTAATAATAAAAGTTCATTTTCGATTTATTCTCAAAAAAATTTATACATTAAAAAAGAAGAATGTAATAAAGATATCTTAATCTATAAAAATCCTTTTTATAAATATCTTATAAATATCTAGCAAATTATATATTCATTTTTTATTATTCTATTTTTTAGTTTATTTTACTCTTTATTTTACTTTTTATTAATCGTGAATTAGAATCTAATTTTTTTCTAAAATGTAGAATATCATTATCCATATATAGCATATATAAAATGTAGAATTCCATAATCAGATATCACTGAATATCATAAACTATTTAAACACTAAATTTTATTAAACTTTATAATAATTTCACAATGAAATTATAACTAATTCTTTTATTAATATAAATAAAATAAAGTAAATTCGAAATTCTAAAAGATATAAATGATCAATAACATAGGTTTAAATATATTACATTACATTACAAAAGTACATTATTTTCTTTAGTTATAGTTCTCTCAAAATATTTGTTAACATTATTTTTCTCATAAAAAAATTCAATATTATATTTATATAATATAATCTACTATCATATAATATATTATAACAATAATTTATTATATTGAAGAAATATTGTATACTTATTTTAATTCTGAAAATATATATAAAAAAATTTCTAGCCGATTCGACATAATTTTATTAAAAAACATTTTCAAAATATTCAAATTTACCTTAATTTACCTTAAAGTCTAATTTACCTTAAATTTACCTTAATGTCTATTATTATTATTATATATTATTAAATTAATTCCTTAAAAAAATTATCAGATAACATAAATAATAAAAAATTAAGTTAATGTTCAGAAATAATTAAAATAAAAATAAGAAAATATATCTTAAATATAATATTTCAAATATTTTTTAAATAAAATTCAATATATTTTTGATCACTTTAATGAAATAATTAAATAAATATATAATAATAAATATGACTATTAAAACTATTGAAACTTTTTTAACATTTTTTAAACATTTATTTCTATTCAAAGATTCTTTTTTGTTTTTATATATTTACATGATCCTTTAGGGAGAAGATTTCAAATATCTCAGGTGCAAAGCGTTTCGAGTGAAAACAGATAGATTCTCCGTTGACTCGTGTTCGATGACAATCGTGACGCATATGAAACGCATATTTCGGCGTAGCATATCCGTGACCGGTGGATTTGGTCGATCTCTAGGCCACCTGTTCTCGCGTTCAGATACCGTGCTACAAAATAAAGCGAAAGAAGCGCGACAATGTGGCATGTGCGGGATTAGTGGACGACGTTTGGCATATAGATGGTGGATACACGATGTCGGTGGCGGTGGCGGTGGCGACTCGTTACCTATAAGCCAGTCATAATAATCGCCGGCACCTGTCTCGCCAAGCCAGCCATCTGAGATCAAAACTGATGCAGCCGTTGAAGAAGTCGACTGAGTAACCGGTGGCGGCGCTTTAGCTATAGAAGGGGAAGGTTGGAGGAAAGTGAACGAGTGGAAGACTAAAAAAAAAAAAAAAAAGAAAATAGAAAAACAAAACTAAGAAGAAAATAAAGAGCGAGAGAAGAGATCGGTTTAAGAAGGAAGGTGAGCAGTAAAACAGGCTGAATCGAAGGAGAGACACGAGGGCAACTCTGGTGGGGTAACCAAGCTGGAGAAGATGCTGCGTAGGGTGGGAGTATAGGTCGAGAGGGAGAAAGAAAGCGAAAAAAATGGACGAAAAAAATTCTCGATGAAAAGGAGAACAACAAAGACAACGACAAAGGTGAAACGGAGTAGAGTGACAAAGAAGGAAAAGTAGGGAGGATCTGCACACTAGCGATTGTAGCGTCCACGAAAGTGGAAGAAAGATAGCGTGATAGCAGTGAGGGAGGGGAAAAGGAGAAGGAAAAGAGAGGCAAGAGAGTCGTGAATAGAGCGAGAATAAAGAGAGACGGAATGGAGATGGAAAGAGAGGAAATCAGTGAGGAAGAGGAAGAGTACCGGTGTGAAGGAGCGTGCGCGTGCCACTGTTATACCGACACCTGCCACAAAACTTGGCTCTACTTTTTGGCGCACATGCACCCACCACGCCTTCCTAACCTTCCCCTCCATACTTCTTCTCTTTCCAACCATCGGAACGGCCTACTATAGCCACCAGTTTGCATATCGGAACCTTTCGTTTGCGACCAAACGATATTCAGAACATCTTATTGCGAGACAGGTTTTTGCGAATAGGGGATTAAATTCCGCGGTTTTAACGAATGCTATTGATGCTTACCACTGAAAATGAGAAGAGTATATGGTTTCTTTATCAAATTTATGCGGCGGTTTGGCATACAATTATTTGGTAGGTGGAATAATAAGAAATATAGGATTGGGTTTGGGATTGTCCAGGGATAATTCGCGGTTTTCATGCATTCGTGTATGTTGGGCTATTTATGTGATTCTTAATGTAAAATTAATAGAATTTTAAAAATTAGTCATTTGCAGATTAAATTATAGAGAAATGAAAAATTTTATTTTTACGTTTTTATTTTTATAAAAGATTAAAAAAATAATGATATAGAAGAAAGCATTTCTTATTGATTTAAAAGATAAACATTAGATAAACATAATAAATTATATCAATTATTTCTTTTACAATTTTTGTAATTTTTATTTAATATTATAAAAATGAATTTCCAAGAATTTGTTTAATATTTCGTTTTTTCCTTTAATCTCCTGATTGTATAATTTTATAAAATTTAAAACATTATAATAAATTAATTAACATCTATAGTATATGCTAGTAACATTTAATACTTTATTATAGTAGATTTTTATAAGATATTATTGTAATTTTTTGAAATTTAATAAAATCATAATTATAACATCAATAAATTGTGTTCGTCAATAATGTTGTATTTATACAACTTTTATTATTTCACTGCCCGATCTTAATAAATTAAACAATGTATATATGCAATTTTGTCCTATAAGTTGTAAAGTTACTAGCATATACTATAGATTTGATGAAATAAAATGCGAATTCAATTGGGTTAAATGGTTCTCCTGTTTCACAACTCTTATGAAATATTAATAATCGACAGATTTGATCAACAATAATTTTCGTCTATTTTAAGTATTTGAAATCCCAAAATTCTTCAAAATTCAATGTTTTAATTTATAGATAATTTCCATGTATTACACCTAAAAATTGCGAATAATTAAAAATAAAATTCGAAGAATTATTCGATAATTCAATTTCGGACGCACGTCTATTCACCCTTTTATTACTTAGTAAATAAACTTTACGTCCGTAGAGACATTCACGATTTATAAACACCCACCAGCTTTCCATAAGCAAACCATAAAGAATTGTCATTATTCTCTTGTAACACGCCCTTATAATTTTCTCTACCTTGACCGTCCCAACCCTGTCTCCCGAAAATCGAGCAAAACAACGCGACCTCGTAAGACACGCGACGATCTAACAGGAGAGTTCTCTTTACAGCAGCGGCGTCGACTGGTTCGGCTGTGGCGGGCGGAAATTTCAATTAACTTTATGGAGGCCGCGATGTAAATTGCGTAGGGGTCAACGCGTGTCGGTAGGGGCCAGAAAGTAGGAGCAAGGGTGCTGTCGTTCCTGCCACTGCTGCCATTACTACCGCTCTTCTGAATAGCGGGGGTAGTAGTCGTGACGAGTGGCGAGTGGTAGTGGTGGCAGAAGGTTGATGGTGGTGGCGACGTTGGTGGTGGTGGTAGCGGTGGCGAGTTCAGGGGTGGTTAGAGATGTAGGCACGATCCACGGCCCCGTGGGCATAGGGTGCGGGCAGAGGGTCGCTGGTTGGATAGGTATTGATCAGCCAGACGGCCAACAAGACGCCTTTGCAGGATACCTACTATACCTTCTATACCACCATCAGCCAACGTAGTCCACCGTACACATTGCAGGGATTCCGTGTCACGTACACTAGCTAACACCAGCGAAAGCATCACTCATACTGACGATGGGTTAACATAAACCTAGCCCCACCACTCATGACATCACCCAGACCGGCTCTTTTTTTCTCGTTGATGGCACGTGAAGTTTCGAGAGAGAAGTAGAAAGAAAGAAAGCAAAGCAGAAGAGGGTTGAACACGAACGAGAGTATAATAAGGGAGGGTTGTAAAAGAGAGAAAGAGAAGATTTTCACGATGCTACTAGCAAGGCAGCCAACAAGATACTTTTGCAGAGAGACGCTGTTATCATACATAGATATAACATATATGTATTATATACGAAAGCACTCATACACATATACGTGAAAGAGTCGCGCCACGTTTTACACAAACACTAACATCGGCCGAGATCGAATATACACTACCACAATTTGACATTATATACCTACCACTGGGATCAGTCAACATAAACTATCATCATTCTGTCCATGAGAGACCTATAGAATGCGTCTTTCCATCGTGGTTCTGAGAAGACTAGCAAATTGAAGTGAGACCGAGAAATTCAAACGAATTGTAATGAAAAAAGAAAGATGTTAAAGAAAAAAGGAAGAAATGAATGACAGAGTGGAACGGAAAAATTTCAGGATATCATCCGATTACTACGAGGCCTTTGTTAGGCTGTTGAGTTGTTATATATATTATATATCAATGCCACTAATGCATTACATATATATTATTGTTGTCTACATATTCAGGATCATTTGATTATACTATGACCAGTGTTAGTTTGAATAGTAAGTTCTCTTCGTCCATACATACAGGAAAATAAATAAAAAAAAGAACCAAAGGAGATGAATAAGCAGAGAGTGACAGGATTATATATGACAGCAGAAAGAAAGAAAGAAATCATAGCAACGAGAGGTAGTCAAAACATTTCTCTGTCGATGCTTTCTATATATATACTTTCTATATGATTATATATCATTGCACTACTACTATTAATATTATTACTATAATCAATCGTAAGAGAGCATCGTCGCAGGTGCCATTGCCTAATGTATGAAGTTTTAGTAGAGACGAAGAAAGGATGAAGAAATAGATGAGCGAAAAAGTCGAGTTTCAGAAGAAACAATATGATAGAAAGAAAGAAAGGAAACAGACGGAAAGAGAAAGAAAAAGAGAAATATATAAACAAAGAGAGAGATAGGAAAATAGAGAGAATGCGACGCGTTGGCACTACCAGGACATTCAAGCAAGAGGTCTTTGCAGGATATCTACTACATCTAACACTACCACCATTACATATTAGTATCAACATAGAACCAACACTGATTCAAGATTCGTGCAGCATCTTCTCTGTTCATATTAACGACGAGCAGGATGGAAATAAAATGAAAAAGAGAAAGATAGAAATGTACATAGGTAGATAGAGAGTAGGAAAGTGAAGTTTGTACAGTTGAACAAGAGGAGGGAATGAGAAAGATGTATCGAATGAAAGAAGAGAGAGAGATAGAAGCAGGGAGTTCACGTTGACGCTACTGGCGCGACATAGTGCCCCCGATTGCGATATATATTCATCCTCTCTAACCAACCCTATATTTCTGCCACCCACACGCTTCGATCTCGCCTACTCTCTTTCTCTCTCTCTCTTTCTGCCTCTCGTTCTAGGTAGCTTTCTCTTTGTCAAACCCCATCCCAGGTCGATTCTCTGGCATTCTAACCATCCTTCCTACCCTTTCGCTTCTCCGTTTCCATCTACTAGAAACTCAACCCCGCCACGCATTACCTTGTCTCTCTCTTCACCGCTACTGCGCTTTTGCCTCCATTCTGCAATGCTCGGTCTTAGGGTTGCTGGCGCTGCTCTGACGGGGTAGCTGGTTGCCGTTGGACGATTCTCGCCATCCTCCGTCCACAAAAAATTTCTATGTATGGATATATAACAAAAAGAATGAAACAGAAAGAGAGTGAGACAGTTCGAAATCCTACTTCTGCGAATCGTTCCTTTTTCTTTTCAACGTATTATTGAGACTGTAAAGATTTCCTATTGAAATTTTTTGGAATCTTGATCTAATGCACATACATTATCGTTGCCTATATCGATAATATTATTTGAATAACAAAGAATTTTATTCTAATAGCATATCAAACTTGTCAATCAATGTTAATTTGATGGAAAATAAGATTTTTTATATATTCTGATTTATTTATAGATTTAGAAGAATTATTAAATTTGGAAGAAATTTTCTTTGAAATGATAAATTTATAATTTAAATTATAAGAATATACGTTATAAGCTGTTTCATATATTTTTTTAATTTAAATATTTTAATTTAAATATTATTTTGAAAATGATACTTTGATGTTAAATTTGAACAATAATTTTTATGTTTCATGATATTTATTTCAGAACTGAAAGACTTTTATTACTTAGAACTGAAAAACTTTTATTATATACATAAAATAATAAAGATTTTTTTAAATAAATTTTTAAAATTATGAATTTTTATAAAAATATGAAGTATATAATTAAAAGAATAATTGACAAATTTAAGATATTATATCCATTATATCCATAATATAAATAATAGTACATAATATTTTATTAATTTTCACTTTACTTTCATTAAATTCACAATTTAAAGAAATATTTTAATTAAATTATAGATTAATAATATACTGGTTCAATGTGACGATGTTTTCTTGAATAATAGATTCTAACTGAAAATAAATTCTGTCACATAGTGCTTTCCCTGTAATATAACTACCAACACTATTTAAAACTATCATATATTTGGAGATATGGTGTCGCAGTATATTTTGCACAAACGAATGATTTCAATAATTTTTCGTTATCTTATTTCTTGATAATTGATATTTCAAGTTACAAAATGAACATTATTGAAAATTGTATAAATTTATGCTAAAGTTTAAAAATTAATAAGTTGTCTTTACAGTAGCAGTAAGAGATAAAGGAATGAATAATGAAATGACAGAAAAAGAAAAAAAAAAGAAAGAACATTTAAGAAATAATATAATAATCTCTTTTAATATTGTATTCATATAAATGCAAAATAAATTTTCATTTAATGAAATTTAATTTAATTATAAATTAATTTTAAAAATATATTAAATTTTGGAAATTTCAAAATTTATATATCGTATTTAGAAATTCAAAGTTTACAAAATATATTTATGCTTAAAAATTAATTAATATATTTTTTGGATTTCTTATTATAAATAAAAAATTAATTTAATTTCATTTCATAGAAGAAAGACTAAATTTGATAAATATAAATGTAAATTTATATTAAAATTTTAAAATTCATAAATCAGTTAATATATTCATTAATTTTAAATTAATTTACATATGTATGAAAAAGTTTATTAATTTCCTTATGATATTATTTTATTTGTTTTTATCTTTAACATAATTTTTTATTCTTTTTAAACAGAGTAGTATTATAAATTTTGTATTTTCTTTTTATATAAATTTTCATTAAAAAAATTAATACATACATAAATATAAAATAAATTTTATTATTAATATTATTTATAAATTATCTCGTAATAACATTGATTTTTATAATTAAAAATTAATATATCCAATAATTTTGCATATATAATTTTTTATTTATTTGAAATACAAAATAAATATCAATTTAATTGATCTATAATAAAAAAAATTAAATATAACAAATAATATATATATTTGAATTTGAATATTAAATTTATTAAATTTTCAAATTCTTCAATTTATTTAATATATAAGTATGAGTATACTGAAAAATTAATATATCTATAATTTTTTTCAGAATAAAATATAAAATATTTTAATTTAATTTAATTATTACAAAAATTACAGAAAAAAAAATACATGATAATAATTTTTTATAATATGTAGTTATTTGTATTTGCATTAGATAATTTTTAATATAATATTTATAATAAAATATTTAATAATAAAATCTCTTGTGTAGTTTTCGTAAATACACAAATTAGTTTGTAATTATATAATGTTCACAAAATACATCATAAATTGGGAATTATTATTATCAAATGTATTTATGTAGTTTGTATTCTTACTAAACAAATCCTTCATTCTCGTTATATATAATAATAACTTTCTCGTTTCAAATAAACGCTACTAAATTAATCCTGAAAAAAAATAGGACGGTTTATTGACATTCTGGAAAATTGATTTAACTATTTTTTCAATTTTTCATCAAATGACCGCCAAATGTCGTTGAATAACCATCTTTTGCAGATCTCTATATTAACGTCTCTTGAGTGAATTCAGTAATTGGATATCCGGATATCCGTCATTCTAGAGATAGATACGAAAACGGATGATCTATTCTTCTCCTTCTTACCTGTCGTTCCTTCTATTGATCTTTCTTTATTATTTCACGTTCTTAAAGACACATGGATAAAACAGCAGCAATTGATGAGTTTCACCTGCCGTCCTCGCACGTTCTATAATCGTATTCACGCGCCTATACTGCCAACAGACGGATGCATCGTTACCTGTATGTCCACGTGCCTTTGTCGAGTATCGTTCTCTCTCCGGGTATCGATGGTGATACTCGCCACGCCGCAATTCGGGCACACCTTCTTTTGACTCGTCCAAGCCGCCTGTTGCGAACACCTGTACTGCGCAAGATGTCCAGAATGTGATCAAGCGTTTAAGAGAGCATCATAATCAAAAAATTTATTTAGTCGCAATTATTTGATAATAATTTTAATTTTTTCAAGACTAATGGAACAATATATAGAAATATGTTTATTTTATTTAAATATATATATAATAAAATATTTTTTAAAAAAATATTTTTACAAGAATTGTACGGATAAAAAAATAGATTATATACACTATTATAATTTTTCTATAGATGACGATTCTTCTATAATGAAAATTATATAAAGATCAATTTTAATTTTTTAAATAGAATTGTATAATTTCTATTGTACTTGTAATTCATGCATCTCATTACTTCCTAAAAAGTATTAATATATTATTTATTATTATTTATATTAAAAAATCATTAATTTAAGAGATATTTGTAACTTGAAATTCATAAAACTTATATGAACTGCAAGAAACAAATGACATTTTATTATTATTATACTCTATTATTGTATATTCTTGTATTATTGTATATTCTTCTTATTTATTATAATATTGTGTTCTTGTAATTTAAAATTTTTTTCTATTTCTTTTTAAAAAGTTATGTTTAAAATGTAAAAAAATTTTGCATTGATTTCATTTCTTTTAATTAATTCTTTTAATTAATTTCGGTTTAAAAAAATTGCATCAAATAAATATAAATAGCTTATTATACTTTACATATTTAAAAAATTTTATTTAAAAAATTTTTTTTTAATTTTTTAATTTCTTAAACAAATTTTTTATTTTTAATAAAATTGTACATGTAAGCATGTAAAGCATAATGAATATATGGAGCAATTTTTTCTATCGGAATATTATTTTAAGATATGAAATTGAATTTAATCATTTAAAGTTTTTGTATGTTTTTAATTTTTTTAATTCTATAATATGAAATAGAGAAAAATTTCAAGTTATAAAATGTTTTAAATTATAAAATTTTTTATTCTATAATTAATATATATATATAATTAATATAAAAAATTTCCAAACAAAATTATATTTTATAAAATATGATAAAATGTTAAAATTTGTGATTGATTTTAAAAAACAGAATCCGTTAACAAAAAAATTATTCCATATAATTAATTTTGCTCTACATATATACAAACTTTCATTAAAATCAAGATTTTTAAATTAGATAATTTTTTCTTTTTCATAAACTATTGTAAACATTCATATGCTAAAAACTTATGTACTTGGATTATTATTTTTTTTAAATGTTTTTTAATATATTACTCTTGTTAAAATTTTACTATGCATAAAAGTATTTGGTATTTATTAATATGTATAAATGATGTTGGGAAATATCTGTACCAATCAAAATAACAATTAAAAGAATATTGTTTCTATCTATCGAAATTAATATTTTATTAGTATAATTTATTAATATTATAATAATATACATATATTAATATTAATATATTTATTAATAAAATATTTATATATTTTTTATTTTATATATTTATATATCATATAATATATTTTTAAAATATCTTTTTTAAATATCTTTTACTTTTTAAATAAATAATAAATCAATTAATAATAAAAAATGTGTTATTATTTTAAATAAATAAAAATTTTCATTTTAAAAATTATGGTATGTCGTGAAAATATCTTGTTTATTCTTGAAATATATCGCTAATTCAAAAAGATTGAAGAATATTGATAAAAACTTTAAATTTTGTTTAATATTAGATGAAAAAACCGTGTTGAAAAACATTTATAAATATTATTTTTAGAATGTTAATGATATATAAGTTTTAAAATTTTCATCGCAGAATTAAATTTTTGAATATAAATTGTATCATTTTGGGAGATATTTTTTTTGGAATATTTTATTTAAAATATTAAAATATTTAAAGTATTCTTAATATTTTATAAAATTTTTAGCATTCATACTTATGTTGGAATTCGTTATTGATATTAATTCTAATGTTTTTATAAACTTTCAAACAATACTAAATTATTTAGATATTTTTGTATATTGGAATCATATTATTTAGATAATAAATTCATTGATATATTTTTAATTAAAAACACAATCAGATTTTAAAATAATAATTAAATGAGTTGATTATATGAGTTTTATATTTCCTATTATATTATAAATAATAAAAGATTTTGATGATTGATCTGATTTATTTAATCAAGTGATCTACCAGATTCAATATATCTAATATAATTATAATTAATTTTAAATATTAAAATTAATTTTTAAATATTATTTAAAAATTATCAAATATTTTAAAAAATTGTAATATTTATAATTTTATTGAAAATTAAGTAAATTGAAAAAAAAATTAAATAAATTAAGTAATTCACTATATCTCAAATATAGTAAATATAGTTGTAACTATTATTAAATCGATATAGATACATAAAATAGTGAAATTCTTAAAAAATTGTCAATCCATATGATTTTATTAAATATTATTTATAAATATTATTTAATTATGATCTAATAATTTAATATATCTCGAATATTGTAAATAAGATCATAATTATTATTAATTGCATATAGAGTGACTGAATTCTTAGTAAAATCTTTAAGATTTATAAGTTCGTTAAAAATAATATTAATCAAATCCAATATATCTTAATTATCGTGGAATAAGTATATATGATTATTATTAGATATTTATTATAGTTTAAAAAAGAAAAAAAATTGAATGACGATTATGATTAAATGTAACATATTTGTGAATTATAATTGTGAATTTTATTCATGAAATTTTTATTATGAATCAATGTATTTCAATTAAACAAGTTGATCAATGTATTTCAATGAAACAAATTGAAATATGTTCAATATATATTCAGTTCAATTATATCGAGTTAAAATATGGAGTATTGTCTGCGAATTTTATATTTTAATTGTGAATTCTAATATGTCTTAATTGTACACAAGAATATTATTTTATTATCATTATTATTTCTTTTTTTTGTTACTTTTTTTATGTTTTTATATTTAAGAACAAACTTTTTATAATTTATTGTAATTATTCTTGTTTTTCAAAGTTAAAATAATTTCGCACAACATTTATAATGAGAACTTATATTCAAATATAATAAATGAATTTTAATAGCATATTTCTATTTTTTTATTGAATATGAAAGAAAATCATATATTTATTCGTAATAAATGATTTGGTATACTTATATATGATAAGTATTATAGCAATGAACTAAACCAAAACTGCATTAAAGCGAAAGAACAATATGTGGAACATTTTCCAAGATAAAGGTAAAGATAAAAAGGATTTATCAGTGCTTAATAATAACCTTTCGTTTTCAAATATTTAGATGAGCGATTTATCTTGCATTGAATGAAGAAACGGGTCACTTTTAAGATTTAATTTTGTTTGGAATCCAAACAAAAAGTTTTAACGTAAGATCAAATCAAGAATTAATTTAAGAATTTATACATTACATTCTATTATTTTCAAAAATATATGAATATATTTGAACATATATGAACATTCATTATCTTCGATTAGAAAGAAATATTTTGATTGTATTAAATTTATAGAATATAAAAAAATTAAAAAAAGTAAAAATGTAGCAAATAAATGTCGTTAATCACTCGTTGTAATATGCATAATTATTTTTGTTGAATACAAAATTTTATAAAATATACAATGTTTGTCATAAAGGAATTGAATTAACTAAGACGTGATATATAAAGTGAATATTTTAAATTATATAAGAAAATTTAATTATATATGCCATAAAATAGAATTCAAATGAAATAGATTAATTTAATATAATTAACCAGCTTTTTTATTTCGATTTAATCGTAATTTTTTATTACGCTAGATAAAAAATAAAATTTTTCTTAAGTAATTTTTTAAGCAAATTATGAAACATAAAATTAATAAGATAAATATAAAATTAATTAATTTTCCTATTTCAAATTCTTTGAATTATTTATTATAAAATGAATAATAATTAAAAAGAATCTGAGTATTAATTGTAAATCAAATATTATAAAATTAAAATAAATAAAAAATTTAAATAAATAAAAATTAAATATAGATCTTATATTAATTAAAATTTGAATTTTCAACTATGAAATGAATAATAATTGCCTAAACTTCTATATTATAAATTTCTATATCATTTTAAGTAATAGATCTATGTTAAATTATATTTTTTTTCTTTCGGATTATTACAATCATTTATTCCAAATATCCTACTTTACCTTCAGTTGAATTTTATGTAATTTGATCTTCATATCTTCAAATTCATAATACACAACTAATAACTTTCTATCTTTGATCGAATACTTCGCTATCATCTATAAAAGTCAATGAAATCCCAAGCATAAAACTCGAGCAAACCGGGAATATTTATCAGAGTATCTCAGAAAAAAGGGGGCCTCTTGAGGCCACGCCTGTTATCAGCCAGGTCAGGCCTCGTCTTTTTCTTTGGAAAAGCTTGGAGAACGGAGGAGAATCACGGGCCATTGATGGGAGAGAGTGAACCGAGTGAGGATTGCAGAGAAGGAGAAAAAGATTCTAGAGAGTAAGCGAGCGTAAGAGTGAGAGAAATGCTTCGTGAACCGAGTAAATGACTGCGAGTGAGAGAAATAGGTATGTTGACAGACAGCAAAGAACCAGAATAAGAGAGATAGAGAAATAGAGATAGATAGATAGATAGATAGATAGATAGATAGATAGATAGATAGATAGATAGATAGATAGATAGATAGATAGATAGAAAGAGAGAGAAAAAGAGAGAGAGAGAGAGATGCTAGTACAAGCTGTGAGAGAAACATATAAAAGGAGAGAACAAGAGAGAGGAAAGCAGAAGTGGTTAGTGAGAGATGGATATAGGACCAGAGAAGCAGAGAACAAGAGAGAGACAAGCGAGGTCCGCCGCAAAATACAAGTTGGTAGGATATCGACCAGCCGGAAGTCTGAGTAGTTGTTGCCATGGAAACGCTCAAGTCAATTTGACCTGGGCCAACAGTCACCGGCATACT